AGACGCAGCAGAAGAAAAGGAATCAGAAACCAAGAAAGCAAAGGGGAAAGCAAAAGCGAAAGCAAAGGCAAAAAGAGAATTCCCTTCCCTTCCCTTCCCTTCCCTTCCTTGCCCTCCACCCCCCTCCCTTCCCTTCCCCTTCCCTTTCCTTCGCTTCCCTTCCCTTCCCTCCGTTTCCCTTCCCTTCCTTGCCCTCTACTCCCCTCCCCTCCCTTCCCCTTCCCTTTCCTTCGCTTCCCTTCCCTTCCCTTCTCTTCCCTTCCCTGCTTTTTGGCATGTTTTCTCACCTTCGGTTTGAACCCTTCGCTTCTTTTTTCCTTGCTTTCACCCCCGGCAGGCGACACCATTCACTAAATCACAACCACCACAAATCACCTTATTATGTTCCCTCAATTTTGCTGGAGACCACTCATGTCAACTGACACCGATCACATTGATCGGCGTCGCTCACTTCTACCTGGCGACCACGCATGTCAACTGATCCCAAAGCTTCTGGCTGGTCACGCAGGCCAACTGATCACAAGCATAGAATGCTTCTAGTAGGACACAACTTCCCAGCCCTGATTCAAAGAGCAGCCCCGATCCTTCAGAAATAACTTTAACATCACGGACGTAATTTCGCCACACGGTCTGCCCACACACTAGAAGCAATCCTATCACACGATACCGCCAATCATCCCGCTCACCAGCGACACGCCGCGTTTACACCAGCATGTTTCGCGCTCCCCAGTGGCACGGCGCCACGCAAACGCACTTTCCACCAAGGCTGCGCAAATCCGCATGGTGCTGCGACATCACGAACGTAGTTTCGCCACGCAGTCTGCCCACACACTAGAAGCAATCCTATCACGCGATACCGCCAATCATCCCGCTCACCAGCGACACGCCGCGTTTACACCAGGTTGCGCGCTCCCCAGTGGCACGGCGCCACGCAAACGCACTTCCCACCAAGACCTCGCAAATCCGCATGGCACTGCGACATCACGAATGTATTTCGCCACACGGTCTGCCCACACTATAGAAGCAATCCTATCACGCGATACCGCCAGTCATCCCGCTCACCAGCGACACGCCGCGTTTACGCCAGCGTGTTTCGCGCTCCCCAGTGGCGCGGCGCCACGCAAACGCACTTCCCACCAAGGCCGCGCAAATCCGCGTGGCACTGCGACATCACGGACGTAGTTTGGCCACACAGTCTGCCCACACACTAGAAGCAATCCTATCACACGATGCCGCCAATCATCCCGCTCGCGCCGGACAAACCCAAAACGCAATCTCACCTGCATTTCGCGCCCTCGACACGCACGATCTCCGGAGAGGGTTGCCCGCGACAAATCCAAAACACAATCTCACCTGCATTTCGCGCCCTCGACACGCACGATCTCCGCAGAGGGCTGCGTTTCGTGGTGCTCCGGCGGCACCGCCCCCGCCTTAAGAGAGAAAGAAAAGAAGAGCGAGAGGTGAAGACGTGAGATGTGCAGATGTGAAAAAGATGTAGATGTGCAGATGTGAAGATGTGAAGATGTAGATGAGACGTAGTTCTACGCTATCTCCTGCTCTACCTCCTCGTGGTCTTAGCGGGCATCTGGCTCTTCAGCTGGATGTGCGAAAAGAGCAGGTGGTGCTACCAATGGAACTTGCATGGTCGTTCATGGAGTTCCATTCTGATCATCTCCATTTTGATCTTCTCTTTGCTCATCCCTAAGCATTTTGTCATTTTGATGTGTGTTTTCACACTTGCATTTTCTGGGTGATTTTCCGATGTTGCGTGTGCATTTTTGTTCAAAAAAAGAGACGGAGAGCCTATAGCTGCATTCGGGTTGGCAAACGTCGCAAAAGGCGACGAAAACGACTTCTTTGTGGCATAGCGCTGCTAATTGGCACTTTCTCCACATTTACGATGTTTGGTCTGATGTGGTCCTCACGCCTGGTTCCTTGCATGGCTGTTCCTTTGCCTAGAAGCGTTGACGCTTCCTCGTTGCACAGAGGTGGAGGGTTGAATTGGCGTGGTGGCGCTGCCGGATCGGCCGCTAGTGGCCGCAAGCGCAATGAGAAGCTTCTTGCTGGTCTGAGTACGCTCGTGCAAAGCATGGAGTGCGAAGAGGACGAAGAAGCTGATGCTGAGGAAGATCTCCTGACGGACCTGAAAAGTCTTGTCCGCACGAAACCTGGAAACCTGCTAAAAGCCTTGACAGAGCTTGTTGCAAGGCATTCGGCAGCTCCCAGCCGGGCTGCTGGAGAACATGATTGGACAGTGGTTTCTCGCAAAAAGCCACCGAAAACTCGACAGGTTGTTCTACGACCTTCTGACCCTCTACATGTTAGTAGCAAAAGCATGTCGAAGGGAGAGGGCAAAGGTCCCAGCTGCTGCTTCGTATGCTGGGCTAAAGGGAAAACAAGCTGCTCCTTTAAAAGGAGCTGCGCCGCATGGAAAGGGCCCCGTGACGTCTGTGCCTGCCATTGCGTCATGGCACTTGGCCTTCAAAAGTGTACACACTGTCACGACTGTTGCCAAGCTTGAGAGTGCATGTGCAAAAAGTGAAACTGTCCTTTTTGCACCCACAGATGTGTCAGATCTGGAAGAGGGTTGTGCTTTCCTCGCTGGCCAACCTGCTGCCAAGGTGAGTGTTGCGTTTCTTCAACGACCCTGAATGGAATCGCGCCGTTGAAACCTGGTTTCCAAAATGTGTTCTTCAGACCTTTGAAACCTCCACGAGACCCAATGGAAAGAAATGCACGGTGCACTATGCTGCACTGACTACAGGGGCGCCCACACCGCAGGCTCCCCCGAACTTGCTGACCCTGAAACGCCAAAGGGGAAAAACTATTGTTCTAAGATGGCTTGCTGATAAACGCTTCAGTGCAAACTTTGCCAAGATCCAAGCAAACCCTGGAAAGCTTGCGAGAAGTTGCATTGCCGCATTTCCTGTTCAGATTCGACAGCCCCTGTTCGAATCTTTGATAGCTGTGGATGGGAATTGCAACCTGGAGCCGATGGTCACAAAAGTGTGACCAAAGGATTGTTCAGAGTTGAAGAATCAGTGGCAGCCAACCTTCTCCTGCAGAGTGGCAGGTCGGCTGACAATCAGCGTTTGTTGAAAAATTGGGCCGTGATCCGTTACCTATTGCACCTTTTGACAAAGACATTGCGGTGCAATGGGTGGACAAGCAGGATCAAAAAACTGTTCTTGCATATGCTCTCGAGTGGCCAAACTTGCTTCTCAGCTGGGAGTGGCCCGTGGTGTGCGGCAACTCGGCGTCCGCCGCGTTGCCACTGCTACCAGAAGTCGTAGATGGAAAGCAGTCAATGTGCCGAGCTTCGCACTGAAGTGTTTGCAAAAATTAGGCATGCCAGAGCCAATGATTTTTGCATGCCAGCACGTTTGGGGCCAACAGGTCCGATATTTGCAATATAGAGGGTGTATTAGTGCCACTCCTTCGCGTATTTCCAATTCCTTGCCACAGGGAGATGCTCTAAGTGTAATTGCACTTCTTGCCGTTCTCAGCATGCCGACTCTTGACCTCCGCCGTCAGGCTGCGCAGGATGGTGAACATGTCCACTTGATTACTTTTGTTGATGACCGGTCCTTTCTCACGCAGAATGCTGCTTACGCCATGACTATGATCAACCGATGGATGCAGTGGTCGGTAGACTTAGGCTTAGTCGAAAATGACCATAAAATTTGTGTCGTTGCCCGCACGACCTCAGCAAAGGCGACCATGCTGGCGTATGGCGCGCAAGAAAAGTGGTTTGTCCCAACTACCAGAATCTTAGGAGTAGATTTTGAGTGCGGCCGATCTCCTGCTCGTCCGACAGCCCTAGACCGTGTAAATGAGACTTTGCGCAGAGTTCAGAAGGTGTCTTTTTTGCCGGTTGCCGCACCACTCAAACTTGAGGTTCTTGCGTATGTTGCTTTGCCTAAGGCAACCTGGGGATGTTGGTTTTTTGTCAACATGCAGCAGTGGGCTTCTTTGCAAACTGCCATAAACAAATGCATGAATTTTTGGCGCTCGCCTGCCAATCCTGCACTCACCGCACTTTTGGCTGGTCATTCCACACAAGCAAAAATGCGATCGATCCTTAGTTGTATCAGTGCTTTGTATCGTACTATCGCCAAAGGGAATGGCCCCCCATGGTCTGTGTGCCCCAAACTCCATACCTGGCAGCAAACACTTGCCCACCACTTGCGGAATCTTGGTCGGCAAAATTCGGGACCCTGGACTTGGACTCATGATGAGTGTGGTGAAATTGACATGACTAGTTTGCAGGGTAAAGATGAAACCATGCATAGGATCAGGGAAAGTTGTCGAAGACAACTTTTCGCAAGTGGCTCGCTTCGCGTCGTCGAGAGTTGCAAAGATTTCCACATCTTTTGTATGATGAAGCACGCATTTTTGCGACGCGCAAAGCATACCAACAAGGTTGTGTTATACCCGTGCCGTTTTGACAGGTGCAGCAGTTTCCGATGCTTGTGTGCAAGCTATGCGTAGGGAGGTCATTGCTAACCACTGTGTGCACTGCAATGAACCGGTGATACCTTCTTGGTATCATTCATGTTGGGAGTGTGCGGCCTTCTCTGATAGCCGCCCGGCCATACCTTCTGATGAAGTGCAAAAACGTTTAGGATGGCCTCGAGTGATTTCCCGCAAAGGCAACTCTTGGATATTTTGAATGAGGAGGACAAACAGATCCTCCAGCACGTGGCAACAGTGCGTGGACGCCTCCTGCGTGTCCGCTATGACTAAGTGACAGGCAATGATGCTGCAGAGTCGCTTTCGTGGCTTGCAACATTCTAAAAAAAACACAAGAGACGTAGTTCTACAGATGTTTTTTACGAAGAACCCTTCGCAGACGCTCTCGGGAAATATATATACAGTATATATATATAGATATATTTCTTGTTGCTTAAAGCAGGCTGACATTCTTTCGAATTCTTCCATCGCTCTTCAATTTGTTTTTTCGGGAATTGGACCCTTTGCGGGCTTTGTGCTGCCAAAAGGGAAGCTTTCATCCTTTGGTCAGAAAGCTGATGAAGGGCCTTGGCCTCGGCACAACAGTGGGAGGGTTCGCGTGCGAGATGCATTCAATTTGCGTCAGAATGATGTGTAGTGTTACACTGCAAAAGGCAGCACAGACTTGACAGAGGGCATGTCTTGATCAGTCTTTGCCAAGGCCGCGGTCCTTTGGGCAGGTTTTGGCTCAGGCAAAGTCGCATTGGTTCGCTAAGTTTGTTGCGGGCGGTTGTTCTTTGAATATGGATGTATGCTCAGCGGCTTTGCATTTTGGGCTGGAAAGCATTTGTTGGATCTTACCAGGCATGGACGGGTAATGCAGGAGCTGGCCTCAGAGTCTCGCTGTGTGAGGAAAAAACTTGCTCAGTTATACAAAGGTTTGTGCTGGTCCCTGGTGCATTGCTTTTCTTCAAGCCATCAAGTGCATCAGAGATACAGAATGGGTGCAAGTCACTGGTTCGCCCTTGTTTGTTCAACTTTGTCATGAACATGGTTGCATGTGACATTGCCGCCAAGACTGCATGCATTTTGTGGAGAGAACAAAGAGGGGGATGTACTCAAAGTCTGCATTAACATTGGGTGAACTTGCAAGGTGCAAACACAAAATCTAATTGGCTTGAGCAACTGAGGAGTTTCCACCTTAAGAAAAATCCAATGAATCCAATGTCTATGCATCTAGTAACTAGTAGCTAGTTTGCTACTAGTAACAAGAAACTACTAGGTGGAGGCCATTGCTAGTAGGTTGGAGGCCATCGCTACTAGCATTCCAAGTATTTGACCTTACCTTGTGGGATTGACTTGCAAGGTCGATCGCCATCTCCAACAGCACACGTGCTACCTTGGCCTTCCCACGAGGCTGGACTTACTGGAAGTAGTGGCTACTCTTGAAGGTAAGGTGATGGCTATTCTTGCACTGACTACAGTGACTACAGTTGAAACTGTCAATGATTTCAATCTTCACTGCTGTGGTCCGTGAGGTGTCACACCGGGAGGTGCCAGGCTTGGGCACTCTTGGCAAAGCCTTGGCTGCTCGAGTTCGGGGACTACTGTTGCATCTAGAGCGGACAGCGTGGAGCCCAATGAGTCCGTAGTCGCCAAGCTGGTCTAATCAGCGAAAATAGCTAAGTTCAAGATAGGATTCCTCAAAGAACCTTCCTAATAGCGATGGCCTCCAACATAAGAGAGATGGGCTGCAACGTACTAACGACCTAATAAGCTAGGATGGACTTCCCCATTTCGTATGTCTCTTGCTCCGGCCCTCAATGGATACACCGACGATTCAGTTTTGTTGTATCTGACGATGGACACTGGGCGGCTTGGCCGAAGGTGGCAATTGATCCAGACATTTCGGCAGCAGACCTTCTGCAGCAGCAAGATGTGATCACCGAGGTGCCCAAGTGAAAACCGTTGAAAACCATTGAAACGTGGGTGTGTCAAGGGGTTTTGAACAGCATTGTGGAAGGCTGACAAGATTGAAGCCAACTTGGAGGTCAGTACCATGCACATGAGTGCAGGACTACAACTTCACACTTTCATAAGATTCACTATTCCTAACATGGTTTTGCAGAAACAAGCTATTCAATCATCATATTATCATATACGGGCTATGCAGCTATTCTATCATATTTTCAATCTTTTTGAATTAGACTCACCGACTGGGCCGACTGCAGGCTTCTGGGCTTGGGAAGTTCCCGCCACCGCTGATGGTGGCGGGTAGTGTAGAGCACTGTCCCCAAGAGCGAATTGCTGAACACTGTAGTCCATTGTGATCTTGGCCTTCAGGCCCTTGCCACTTTCAACCACTGCCAGTAGCTAAGGGCTTTGCCAGTTGAAACATTGTCACTGATCCCAGAGGAGGTTGGCCAGGCTGCAACAATTGTGCCCTGTGATATCAACATCATGGACGGTGAGGCAATCTCCTCCGATGAGGACTGCAAAGTTGAGCTTTTGCCAGCTGGTGCATAGCCAACCTTTTGGCTGTGATAGTGCTTGTCCGAGTACATACTTCGCCTGCGTGCTGGCTCCAGGAACAGGGGTTGAAATTTTAAAGCCCTGTGTCAGTGTGGGTGTATTTTGCAATTTTTGCAAGACACGTTCACAGTGCGTTAGATTTAAATATGCCCTACCAAGCTCAGTCCTTAGCCGACTGAAAGCGGTACAAAGTTCACACAATACCTCCAGGCTTTGTGTCTCAGGTCATTGGCTTGGCCTTGGTGAGTCTGACGAGTTTCGCAAGCAGTGCCTCGGCTTGGGCCTTGTGGATCAGCTCAGATTCAAAAGCGTTGACAATTGCCAATTGAGCAGCGTCAAAAAACTCTCACAAACCGTTTGTGTATATAGATGAACAAACTTGTAAACTCCAACTTGCCCGCGGAAGCCAAAACTGCAGTCGTGTATGGTAAAATTCACCACCGCTGAAGCTTTGCGGAAGTGCATACTTTATCTTCTTGACAATGCTAAATGCTTCTACTGCTAAGGAGATCTATCTAGCCTATGAGCACTTTTAAGAAATATGTCGCACGGAAGAGGATTTCAACCAAACATGGCCGGTGGAAGCCAAAACGCAGGTCGCGGAAGCCACGGGCAAGCATTGGCAGAAGCAAGTGTTTTTGACACCGCTCAATTGTCCTGTCGCGGGCATTGTTTCCAACTCCGCTTGTTTTAAATTACACTCGGAATATGTGTTTTTCCCCAGATAGCGAAGCTATGTTTTTTTTGGTCGACCCCCCCCCTCTGGGAAACTCTGTGCGGTCCATGTCGGCGACGCTGGCGACATTGCGATGTCTATGCGATGTCTGCTACTGTGATGTGGCGCGTGATGTGACAATATCCTCCTACATTTTATCCTTAAATAAGAATACCTCCAGCGCATAGATAGTAAATTCGTAAGAAGACTAGAACACTGGGAAAACACACACCTCCACAACGTCGTGTTCTGATCTTTTTTGTCAGATAGCGAGGCTATGGGGTTCTTACTTCAAATAACAATGAGTTGCCCGTGCGCGCTTTCGAGACAGGTTGCTGGTGCTGGTGCTGTGAGCTGGCTGTGCACGCTGCTGCAGCTGGCTGGTTGCCGGGCGCCGGTGCGGGTGCTTGTGCTGGGTGCTGGGTTGTTGTTGCTGGTGCTGGTGCCGGGTGCCGGTACTGGTGCTGTGTGCTGGCTGTGCACGTGGTGGAGACAGGTTGCTGGTGCTGGTGCCGGGTGCCGGTGCCGGTGCTGGTCCTGTGAGCTGGCTGTGCACGGGGTGGAGACAGGTTGCTGGTGCTGGGTGCCGGGTGCCGGTGCTGGTGCTGGGTGCCGGGTTGCCGGTGCCTGGTGCTGGCGCTGTGAGCTGGCTGTGCACGTGGTGGAGGCAGGTTGCTGGTGCTGGTGCCGGGTGCCGGTGCCGGTGCTGCGTGTCGGGCGCCGGTGCTGGTGCTGATGCCGTGAGCTGGCTGCGCACTTGGTGGAGACAGGTTGCTGCTGCTGGTGCCGGGTGCCGGTGCTGGTGCTGGGTGCCGGGCGCCGGCTGGTGCTGTGAGCTGGCTGTGCACGTGGCCGGGTGCGGGTACGGGCTGTGGTGCTGGTGCTGGGTGCTGTGAGCTGGCTGCGTGCGTGGTGGAGACAGGGCGCCGGTGCTGAGTGCTGGCAGTGCGCGTGGTGGAGACTGGGCGCCGGTGCTGGGTGCAACAGCTGTGTCAAGTTGTCAAGGGCTGTACTGTTTGTGCGCATACTTTTGCACGTCGCAACGTCAGGCTCTCAACCGACCATTGTTTCAGCGTGTTTCAGCATGCTACACACACACACAATAGTCGCGCTGGATACTGCTTGGCCTTGGGCGAGTGAAGGCCACGGGCTTGCCGGTTGCGCACGTACCTTTTGCGCACAAACTTATACGCGCAAGATCATATGGCCTTATCGTTCTACAGATCGTTGCTTCAAGCACGCTACAAAGTCAATAGGCGCTGGATACTGCTTGGCCTTGGGCCACTGACGCTTACGGGCTTTGCTTTTTGCGCGCATACTTTTGCGCGCATGATCTTATACGCCCAAGATCATGCGTTGTTATTTCCCAAATAGGGATAGCTATGCGGTACTGCAAATAATAATGAGCTGGCTGCGCGCGCTTTCGAAAGGGTGTCGGTGCTGGCGCTGGTGTTGCGGTCTTGGGTGTTGGTGCTGTGAGTTGGCTAAGCGCGCGTTGTCAGGTGTCACGCAGCTGGTTGTGCGCGCTGTGGAGGTGCCGTATGCAGGCTGCGCAGGCTGCGTACATTCTTGTTCCGGCCAGTCGCATGTCAACAGGTCGCGGGATTCTGCCTAGCTATCTGGGTCTATGCTGGTGTAATTTGTCCAGATAGCGAAGCTATGGGGTTCTCCCTTCAAATAACAATGAGCTGCCTGCGCGCTTTCGAGACAGGTTGCCGGTGCTGGTGGGCGGTGGAAACAGGGTGCCGGTGCCGGGTGCTGGTGCAGGGTGTGGTGCTGTACCGGTGCTGGGTGCTGGTGCTGGGTGTCGTAAGCTGGCGCGCCGGTGCTCGGTGCTCGTGCCCGCTTCTGACAGTGAAGTGATAACAACCGCCGCTTCTGACAGTGAAGGGTAACAAACCGCCGCACCAAGCGCCGCTTCTGACAATGAAGTGCAAGTCATGGGCCGCATGAACTTATGCGCGCAACATCATACGGTGTTGTCGCTTGAGCGTTCTTTGTCTATTAGCGCTGTGAGGTATTTACGCCCTTCAGGTTCTGTTTTGGCCGACAGCTGTGTAAAGGGCTGTATTGTTTGCGCGCATACTTTTGCACGTATAATGTTTCTATGCGTCAGGCTCTCAACCGACCATTGTTTCAGCGTGTTTCCGCATGCTACACACACAATAGTCGCGCTGGATACTGCTTGCACTTGGGCGAGTGAAGTCCACGGGCTTGCCGGTTGCGCATACCTTTTGCGCATAAACTTATACGCGCAAGATCATATGGCCTTATCGTTCTACAGATCGTTGCTTCAAGCGTGCTACAAAGTCAATAGTGGCGCTGGATACTGCTTGGCCTTGGGCCAATGACACTTACGGGCTTTGCTGTTTGCGCGCGTACTTTTGTGCGCATAAACTTATACGCGCAAGATCATATGTTGTTATTTCCAAGTAGGGATAGCTATGGGCTCTTGCTGCAAATAAGAATGAGCTGGCTGCGCGCGCTTTCAAAAGGGTGTCGGTGCTGGTGCTGGTGTTGTGGTCCTGGGTGCTGGTGCTGTGAGCTGGCTGAGCGCGCGTTTAAGACGGGCGGCGGCGCTGGTCGGGCGCTGGTGTCAGCTGATTGCGCGAGGTGTCTTAAGCTGGCTGCGCAGGCTGCGTACATTCTTGTTCCAGCCAGTCGTATGTCAACAGGTCGTGGGATTCTGCCTAGCTATCTGGGTCTATGCTGGTGTAGTTCCCCAGATAGCGAAGCTATGGGGTTCTTACTTCAAATAACAATGAGTTGCCCGTGCGCGCTTTCGAGACAGGTTGCTGGTGCTGGTGCCGGGTGCCGGCGCTGGTGCTGTGAGCCGGCTGTGCACGCTGGCTGTGAGCTGGCTGCGCAGGTTCCTGGTGCTGGGTGCCGGGTGCTGGTGCTGGTGGTGCCGGGTTCCGGTGCTGCTGGTGCTGGTGCCGGGTGCCGGGTGCCGGGTGCCGGTGCTGGTGCTGTGAGCTGGCTGTGCACGCTGCTGCAGCTGGCTGGTTGCCGGGCGCCGGTGCGGGTGCTTGTGCTGGGTGCTGGGTTGTTGTTGCTGGTGCTGGTGCCGGGTGCCGGTACTGGCGCTGTGAGCTGGCTGTGCACGCGGTGGAGACAGGTTGCTGGCGCTGGTGCCCGGCGCCGGTGCTGGTGCTGGGCGCCGGCGCTGCTGTGAGCTGGTGCTGGTGCTGGTGCTGTGAGTTGGCTGCGCGCGCGGTGGAGACCGGGTGCCGGTGCCGGTGCTGGGCGCTGGCCGGCTGGCTGTGCGCGTGGTGGAGACAGGGTGCTGGGCGCCGGTGCTGCGAGCTTGCTGTGCACGTGGTGGAGAGAGGGTGCTGGTGCTGTGCGCCGGGTGCGTGCTGTGAGCTGGCTGCGCACGTGGTGGAGACATGGTGCCGGTGCTGGGTGCCGGTGCTGGTGCTGGTGCTGTGAGCTGGCTGAATGCACGCAACATCATACGGTGTTGTCGCTTGAGCGTTCTTTGATGTTCTTTGTCTCTTAGCGCTGTGGGGTATTTGGTTCTGTTTTGGCGACAGCTGTGTCAAGGGCTGTACTGTTTGCGCGCATACTTTTGTACGTATAATGTATGCGCAACGTCAGGCTCTGAACCGACCATTGTTTCAGCGTGTTTCAGCACGCTACGCACACACAATAGTCGTGCTGGATATTGCTTGGCCTTGGGCAAGTGAGGCCTTCAGCTTTGCCGTTTGTGCGCATACTTTTTGCGGGCAGATCGTTGCTTCAAGCATGCTACAAAATACAAAATCAACAGTGGCGCTGGATACTGCTTGGCCTTGGGCCAATATGGGCTTTGCTGTCTGCGCGCATACTTTTGCGAGATAGGGTGCCAGTGCTGGGCGCCGTTGCTGGGTGCTGGGTGTGCGCGGTGGACTGTGAGCTGGCTGTGCGCGTGGTGCAAACAGGGTGCGGGTGCTGGGTGCTTGTGCTGGGTGCTTGTGCTGGGTGCTGTCAGCTGGCTGCGCGCGTGGTGGAAACAGGGTGCTGGGTGCTGGCTGTGCGCGTGTGGTGCTGTGAGCTGGCGCGCCGGTGCTGGCTGTGCGCGTGGCGGACACAGGGTGCTGCCGGGTTGCTGGTGCTCGTTGTGTGCGTGGTGCAGATTGGGCGCTGGTGCCGGGTGCTGGCGCTGGCTGTGCGCGTAGTGGAGACACACCACGCTGTATTGCGTGTAAAAATTGGAGCTGCTGCCAATGCAGGGTGCAGCCCAGAAAAATCTTTTGCATGC